TCGAAGTGAATGGCAACCAAAGGAGTAACTTCACAAACTTATGGAGGACTTTTCAAGATTCAAAAATTTACATTTGGCAATACCAGAACTTTTTCTCTGTGATTCCAATAGGATAATGAGAATTCGAGAAATAATACTTGAGTTCTAACGAACCCTCTCATGTCTCCTTTTAATATTTTAGTCTTTAAAATACCCTCAACTTTTGAATTAATGTAATTGGTATTTTTATTCAAAATATTCTTGATTATAACTAGAACAAATCAAGATAAACTTTGGAACCTTTGACTTTGTAATTCTCATTTTCTTTAGTCAATTTTGAAATTCAGATGAATACCACACAAAAATTTATTTAAAAAAATCAGTTATACCAAAATGAGCGTTCGAGATAACAAAGCAGTCATCCAAATTATTTACTTAATCAGCTTAAAACATCGTGGAAGCCAAATCAAATGTTTGACGTTCAACATTCCCTCTTGCTAGAAATGCTCAGGTATGTGCAACGCTAATTCCCATCTCATGGCCCGACAACTGTTAAGTCAGTGTAACAGTGTTTCAAACTAAATTTATCCTTCTAAAGCTAAATCTTTACTAAATCCAGGAATTAAAATATCAGGATTTTTAGACGATAGATATAGCAATCGTGTTCAAACCATATTCATGATAAATACCATAGATACAAACGAATCGAAATCAAAAGATACATTTTCTGCTATCTTTCCTAAATTCGACTTCTTCTATATGAATTATTTTTATTTTTTTCTTTACGTTTGAAACCCACAAACCCACACATATATAGTAATCTGTGTTAAAAAAAACTGTCATCGTTTAAACAACATCCAAAACCTTATTTATGCTGATGTTATATACTAACTCATCTTGAAAAGATTAATAACAGTTTCACATTTTAATAAAGTACAAGTAATTTTATATAACCTGTAACTGTAAAACTAAAAGATAGTAAACCTTTAAACGTTTGTCTTTCTCTTATTCATTAAGTTAGTTGTGTGATTTGTTGTGAAGTTATGTTTTTCTGTTATATACCTTGAATGCTTCATTATATACGCCAACGTAGGAAAATGTACTCTACACGTTCAACATTATCATGTACTAAAGCCTTTAAAATGACCTAGTGGAACTTTATAATGAACTGGAAAGAAAGAAGGAATATGTGGAAAATATCTTTAATTTGCAATTACATTTTCTTCTTTTTCTGCCTTTTTTCTGAACGTATGTATTCGAGGATACGTATATTATTAAGCCGAATCTCAATCTCTTTCTCCCTTTATCTTTTTTTTCCCCGTAGGCGTTGTCTTTCATCCATTTGGCGTTGATTATGAAATCAATGTACCAAACCACAAGCACCTCTGTTTTTCCCCCTTTCTTATAAAATTCAGTCATACGTTATTTTTTCTCTCTTTTTGAAGTTCCGTTTGGAGCATTGGAGGGGGGGGGGGCAATTAAACCTGTCTCTTAGCTTTTGAGTATTTGTACAGTAATAGACGAAGATCGACAACAAAAATAGTTGTTTCTTAGCTAATATGAAGATATATGTGTTGGCTGAATCATTCAATTTCTATGACTCCAGTACTGTTGGCTTATACTAAGCTTTGAAGAGCTATAAAGTCATGACATATCACAATTGGCATCGTTCACATTAAATTTCCGTTTATTAAACAGAAAATACACCGTGTGTTATAATTACAACGTTTTGCATTTTATTTAACATAGAACGAACTTTTTAAAATTTCAACAGGCATCGTTAGTTGTCATTTAACATAAACTGTACCGCGTAATAAGTAAAGCAGTTACAGTTGATATTTATTTAACAAACAATAGTTAACAACTTACTACACTGATTTTCAAAGTCTTCAGCCCATCAGAACTTGTAAAAATCTGTTATTCATATACTGGCAGTATGTTGTAAACCGCAGTTTTACTGTTTTTTCTTAACATTGGACATGTAAGTCTCAAATGTATAAATTTGTTGAATCCATGGAAATATTAACAGAGGAAATTGCCACGTCTTGGTTGATGTAACCTAATCATTAGTTGAGAGTCATGTGAGTTGCTTATTGCAAATCGTATCTCGTCATGAACTGTTATAATCGCAACCTAATCTTTGAATCCATGAAAAGATTCACATAGGAGATTACCACGTCTTAGTTGATGTGACGTTATCAATACTTAACAGTCATGTGAGTTGCTTATTGCAAATCGTATTTCATTATGAGCTGTTGTAATCGTGACCAGGTGTTACTTGGGGTTCGGGTGAGTAGTTAAACCAAACCGTATCTCCTGATGGTTGCTGTATAATCGTGACCTAGTCGTTACTTTGGATTCGTGTGCGTGGTTTAATCCAAACTGTATCTCCTGAAGGGTGTTGTATAATCGTGACCTAGTCGTCATTCGGGCTTCGGTGAGTGGTTTAATCCAAACCGTATCTCCTGATGGTTGTTGTATAATTGTGACCTAGTCGTTACTTTGGATTGGAGTGAGTGGTTTAATCCAAACCGTATCTCCTGAAGGGTGCTGTATAATCGTGACCTAGTCGTTATTCGGGATTCGGTGAGTGGTTTAATCCAAACTGTATCTCCTGATGGTTGTTGTATAATCGTGACCTATTCGTTACTTTGGATTCGAGTGAGTGGTTTACACCATACTGTGTCTCATGATGAATTGTATGATTGCGACCTAGTTGTTACTTGGGGATCGGAATCCTAAGCTGAGTTTCTCTTCATTATTTCACCACCAGATAAAATGTAACCACTGTATATGCCCATTTAGCTCACTCTCCGTAATGTTTTCCTGCTGCACTAGAACCAACGAGTCTTGTGGAAGGAATTTTCTCTGTCAAGGAGCCAGAAGAAGATATAATTTTGTAATCAACTTTTGTAACGTACATTGCTTAAATCCACTTTGAAAATAAAATCGTTTTTCTACGATTGAAACGGAAATGCTTAATTGAAGCTTATATTAGATTGAATACAAACTTGTAGAAGGCATTTTCTTAATTATATATGAATAATGTGAAAGTACAGAAACATGGCAATATAAACAGAAATTCTTAAAAAGAGGAAGAAAATGTATTAAGATACTTTATACTAAACAGAAAATGTTTGTTACTATGAAAATAAAATATGAATTTGTATCAATATAAGAACGAGTGTAATAAAGACTTGAAATTGCCTAGATCATACTTGTATGAAAATCTACACAGATTTAGTGGCAGATATGGTAAGTCGTATATAACAGGTTATACCCTTACCACGTTATCATTCCCAAGATGGCGATCAATAATGTGTGCTGGTGGGGACTTTGTGTAAATTATATCATATCTTCTGAAATACATACTGATAACGTTATATATTTTTATAATCTGATAATATATAACAGCTTGTATGATGATAGATGGAGACCTTTTTACGTGACCATAGCTTAGGTAGCCAGCACGTGTTGCCTGTATACTGCATGATATGCATCATTAATAATCTTTATTTGCATATCATCTGCCCAACACTAATGAATCAAAATAGCCATTTAATCATCTTCATCATGTGTATCGCAACCAGTAACAGAATTCCAGTCCCTGTTAGCCGATAGTATGGTGTTGAAGTGCACAAGGATGTGTCCTTGATGCAAATACTGCTAGAAGGGCCGCCAAAATAGTCCACAAACGTCATGCAGTACATCTTCCCCAATATGGATGCATGTAATGTTGCGTAACTCCCGTCAAGCCATTCAGTTTTCACATACATCTTGCACTTTCGAAGTTTTGAGAGACCACATTTCTGGGCAACACGACTTTTCCATGTGCACGACATTCCCGGCATGTATCGATTCCAAACTCCACGGAGAACCATTCCAAACAGATGTCGTTTTCGCTCTTCCTGCTGTATTAAAGCGAATTTAAACCATAAGGGTAAAGAGTTGTTTTTTTAATATAAAATAGTGGTGCCACATACAATGTTAAAATATATAATTATTTCTCAAATTAAAAGATACATAACAGTCTCCAATAAAAACACTTTTTTTTTGTATATAACGTAGAATTGTTAAAAGATAAACTTCTATTGAATGGTTATAATAATTATGAAATTAGTAAAGTCTTTAAATTATTTTATAATGAAATTCATAAGTTATTAGAAAGTAAATCATTTACAAACAACTTGAGTACAATTATTTCTAACTTGAAATATTGAATTAATGAGAGGTCGCTAGCATAAAAAATATTATTATAAAGACTAGCGTTTACTTTATAATACTTTCAGTATTTCTGGATTGGAAAGACCAACTTCAGGTAACTAGGCCTGGCTCAGTTTACCCAGTTATACTTGAAAGTCATGTTCTTAGAAAGGGGGGAGGAAGGGGTATCAGAACTATATAGGTGGGTTTATAGTTAATAATAAAAACATTAACTGAAATATTATTTGAAGTATTACTGCTTATACTATATTGAATAGTTATTAATATCTTGGAGTGATAAAATGTCAATATTACTACTAGAAATATACAGTAAGGTTGTATATTTCGTAATTTAATATCATGGAGTAACTATACTAGGGAGAAGGTTGGATGGTGTTATTTGATAGAAGTCAAGGGTGTTTAATATCTGACTTATATTCTTATGATTTTTTAGGGATAACTATCATACCCACAACCGACTATAGACGGCGAGTGATAGTGGGATCTGGGACGTTGTGGGTTCTAGCACCCAGATCCTAATCCCATTTGTTTCGATTACATGCTGACTAGCTCTGCATCTGTTGTTTTGATTATGTCTGACAGACAGAATATCGCCAAAGCTTTTAGGAGCTATAACCGCAGACATTTTCACTTTAAAATGATACCTTCTGTACAAACGGTACAATTTAACATTGTTATATTAGAACTTTGTTGGCGCGTACAACTACATGTACAATAAATAAATTGTAGGTTATATTATACACACACACACATGTTGTGGTGCAAAATTAGACGATCATGATTTTATTGACAAAGGCAAAAGTGGCACACAAATAAGTGGTTTCTGTACAACAAGAAAAATGATCGTCTATAATATAATATAAATATGCAATGATATGTACAACCTAATGTTAAATTATGATGACTGAGCTTTACAAGCAAGAACAACACATAGGATCTCTTAGTAAGCAGAGTGGTCTGTTCTTAAATCTGTAGCTAACTTAGTGGACCTGATCAACAATAAACATACGCACATACGAACTTGTAGAGTCTGACTTCCAATAGAATCGTTATGCACTATACAGTATATTAACATCACAAATTAACTAATTCGTTCTTCTGACAATTTTCAGACCCCGAATATTTTACAAACATGCAAGGCACTGATAGCTCGCTGTACAAATAGTTTCTTTTTCCGTGAATAATAAATAAATAATCCATAGACTGACTCTTTCTGAAATAGTTTAGGAAAGTTTATCGAGGCTAACTCATGTTTATGATGACGTCACACCTCGGTTGCGAGAATCCCCTCACTGAACTCTTGCTTGTAATTCTCTTCGATGACGTAGACGCTGCTGTGAGGACATGAAGAGGAGGACTCACTGAAAGAAAAAAACAACTAACGGGTAGAAATAGTCCACAAGTACAAGCGTAAAGAGTTAGTTTTGTTTGTTTAGACGCAAAGCTTTACAATGGATTACATATGTGTTGTCCCAACCACTAGGATCGAACCCTTAATTGTAGTGTTATAAGTTTCAGACTTACCGTTGAACCACCATGAGGTAAATAAATACTTAGTGTACAGGATGAATTAGATAATAACTTAATCAGATATGTGTAAAAAAAATTGCGCTTTAATGAAACATGAAAAATATCTAAATACAAATAAAGAAGTGAGAGGCCGTTCACAATTTTCTTCAATAAAAATTATCAAACATTATTTAATAAAGGAGGGTGGATAAAAAAAATAACGACCCTACTTGATAAAGGATGAAGAAAATGTCGACAGAGTTAACTTTTTTAAAAAATATTTTTCTTATCAATGCCCATTTTTAATTAGTGTGTATTAGAGAACATCAGTTCCACACTCTCGCTCCAGGTCTTATATTCAATTTTTATTTTCGATACAATGGATGTGTGTGCGAGTCTTGGAATTACGAAACAATGTTCGATACTTTTTGATGGTGACAACTATGAATGGTTCCTTAAGCAGCATTTTAATCAAGCATTTACATTCAAAAATAGGCATTATAACTTAAACACAGGAAAGGAGCGAAGTTCTAATAACAAATTTATTTAACCTCAGCAAGTAATATTGATCCGCATGTAAATATTCTTTAGATACGATTAAATAGTAGTTATAGAAATACAATCTTATTCGTGAGTCTAGATTACTACTCATCACAAATGTCAAATATAATGTAACTTAACGTTTCAATAAAAAACATGGATGGCAACAATAGCTTTTGTAATGTCTCGACTGTATTAAAAAGTGAAGTAGATGAAATATTACGATCCCCTGTGCTTCAGCAGTAGGTGGTTAGGGCGCTCGACTCGCAATCTGAGGGTCGCGGGTTCGAATCTCCGTCACACCAAACATGCTCGCCCTTTCAGCAGTAGGGGCGTTATAATGTTACGGTCAATCCCACTATTCTTTGGCGGTGGGTGGTGATGACTAGCTGCCTTCCCTCTAGTCTTACACTGCTAAATTTGGGACGGCTAGCGTAGATAGCCCTCGTGTAGTTTTGCGTGAAATTCAAAACAAAACAAAGCCAAGCTGGTGGTTTATAACGCTAAAAATCTGGTTTTGATACTGCGGTGGACACAGCACAAATAGCCGATTAAGTGGGTTTTTGCTTAAATCAAACAGATACTAAAAATGGATTATTGACTTTTTGTGAATAACTGAAACACTCTTTTAATACAACTTTTATACATATTACTAATTTCAATGCTTATCTAGTCTAAGCTAAATTTTAAAATAATATTGTGTAAATATAATAAAATAAAACGAAATTAGTAAAGAAACATTTGGGGTTCATTTATGAGTGGAAATCACTCATTTCGTCGAATTATAGACAGCGTTTTTTGATATTCTATTTTAGCTTCTTTTTTTTTTTTATTCTGAAATTTCTCTTTAGACGTCTCACTTGAGTGTTTGCATCAGTGCTCGATAAGAAGGGTTAATCACACTTTACAAGAACCATGCCTCAGTTCTCGTGATTTGTAGATCGTGCTCATTCGCATTGCTATGATTACTAATACTGCCCTGCATCGCAATTCCCATTGTAACAAGCTTCTACGAAAGAAGACAAAATCAACTTTAGACCACACATACTGACACACTTTCCAAAGCTCATCCACTATACTTGGATTTAGCCTTTTAAAACTACGCTTATTGAGCAAACTAAATGCACAGGGTTCAAATAGATACGCAGACAGATGACTTCGAGGGTATGTCGGAGAAGGAGTTAATATGAACGTCACCTTTTTCTCTCTAAAGTTCGTATAAACCCACTATGAACTTAAACGAGTGACGTAACCCTTTATCCTGATATAGCCAAACTTTCTTGTCATCCTGGTCATGTAGTGTTGGATTAACTTATCACATAACTAGCATCAATAAGCTCCATTGTCGTTTATGTATTTTTAAACTTTTATTTGTGTTGGGTGTAGGTGGAGGAAAAGCAATTTTCATGTCAGTGGGAGTTAAAATTTATCTCAGGTGGAAAGGGGGGTTGATGGGGAGTAGAGCTCTCCAACATAAATAAAAAATATAGTCACTGGCCGATACTGTTAAAAATACTTATCAATAGTGAACCCAAACTAATAGAAACTTGTCTTCCCTAAACCTCTAGCATGTTAGCACGAATTCAGAAGATTTTCAGAAAATATTTTGTACATAACAAGTCCTTTTGTCTAGTACAATATAATTTGTTTCTGCGACAGACAATGGTAATCAAAACTTTGTTTAAAAGCTTTTCTGGTTAGTAACCTCTAAAGGATTAGTTTATACTCCGCAATCTATAATGTTATTATATTACACTAACTCAGTAGTCTTGCAGGCTTATATGCCTTACCATATTCACAATAGAAGGGGTTTTTTTTCGATCAACTGAAATTCCAATATATCTAAAAATGGAATTATACCACTCCTCTGTCTGTCACGTTCTAGATGCCTTTTGATTCTTGAAATAACTCGTTAGCTGGGGTTGCAGGGAACAAAATCTACCCATAAAGTTACGGTTTAAACGATGAAAGCCGGCGAAATATTAGAAATCAATAGGCCTAAAAATTGTTATAGAAACCAAGTTAACTGCAGATGCTTTTTTCACACTCCTCTTAATTTATCCATTGTGGCTCAAAATCAGAGGTGTGTAAAAATAGCATTTAATTTGTCTCCCAGAAATCGCGCTGCCCAAGATGCTTTTCGTTCAATACTAGAAATCATCAGTTGAGCTGGATGAGGAGAAACGAAAGACTGTGTTGTTTTATTATTATGCTTTTTATGTCATTTCATCCCAGTCCTAGTAAAAAACTGGCAAGCAAACCAGGAAAAGTATCCAAATCGTAGGAAACTACGATGGTATGGATGGAGGAGAAACGTGGATGAAGAAATAAGTGGACATAAATGATAACATCACTGATTAAATATACAAAATTAAGAACTGTGAATGAAAACTGTAATCGCTTAAAATGTGTAGATATAAGATGGCAGATGTAATAGTTGTTAACGATATTGGTACGATGATGTTTCCATGGTGGATTTACAGACAAACCCAGCCAGTCCGCAAGGGTAATTTTAATTTAAAAATAACAATACCGGTGGTTATATATTTTTGATGAAATGTTTAGGGGTGCAAAAGTAATAAGGTGATATAGTTCTTTAGTGGGACTAGGAAGACTAATTCGGAAAACTCATCTGAGAGCATGACATTTCAGAATCATGATACGATCATAATATGTAGAGGAAGTTAATACTCGTTTTGTATGACCAAAAGTAATGTGTATAATTCAATTCCCAGTAGGTTCCAAGGAAGCATTGTATGAAATTGTTTCTCTTGATGACTTTAGAGCAGGTGGCTGTAAGGTTACATTCCAGGTGAGATGTTTATCGAAGTTATTGCCCAGATATTTCATAGAATCCGAAAGCTGAACGAGAAAATGATTAATATGTACACTGAAGAGTCGAGGATCACGACAAGAACTAGGTTTCACAGGCATGGACCAGTAAAACGTCAGATCTTACACAGTTGGAGAAAACGATCAACAGCCTGTTAAAAGTGACCATGGTAGAACAAATGGCAAGAAACGCTATGTCGTCAGCATACTGAAAGAGATGAACAGGATAGCAAGTTTGAGGTATATCTGCAACACAGAGTACAAAAAGTAAAAGTGACAAAACAGAACCTTGTGGAACACCTGTAAGGGTCGAGATAACTTGTTCTGCGATGATATGACAACCAGGCGATCATAAAAAAAAAGAAGTTCAAAGTTGGACGTAAGTAACAGGTAATTTTATAGAGAGAAGTTTATAGATTAATTTACGATGCCAAATGGTATCAGCTGTTTTCTCAGAGTGAAAAAGTTGAAGACAAAATGAGTAATTGGCCTTAAAATGATTAATGATATCAGACAAACCTGAGGAGCTGGTCCAAGAAGGAAAGTTATGGCCGAAATCCAGCTAGAAAATTAGGCCAGAGGTTGTTTTCTGAAATAAAATAGTGGGGACGAGGGAATAAAATACTCTCAAATGTCTTGCTCAAAACACTGGTAACACTAATAACTCTAAGAGTTTACCACTGAGAGAGGTTTATGGAGCTTATAAAATAAGATGATTTTGGAGAGTTTCTATGTATCAAGGTAAAATCCGGTGCGCAAAATGACGTTAAATAACGAGACCAGTAGTAAATTGAACTTATGACGAGGATTCTTCAGATGGGGGTGGGGATGTGGGTGTAATGTTGTCCAAACCAGGTGCTGTATTCCGTTTGTTATGTAAAGTACGATGAATATCAGACAAAGTATTAGGTGCAGGTAGAAAGCCATCATCCAGACATGGGAAAATAGTGGATTAATTTTTAGAAGGTTGATGAAAGGAAGACGGGAAATATCCAGTTCTGGATGTGCAATACTCTGTGAACTGAGATACCATTCTCTGATAGTTACTTATGATCTCCTTTTCAGTCACTGGTGCGTTCAAGCCATGGAGTATACAAGAGAACATAGGCATATGACGCGGAGAGGGTTGTAGTTTGTGTTGAGACACACAAAGCTTGCGTATGAATATGGTGTTACCAAGGCGAAAAATGCCCATCTTATTGCAGAGTGTGTTGCACTGGAAGTTTTGACAATCATGTCATAACGTGTAGGGAGGATTTGTACAATATCTGGAGAGCTCCAAAATAAAGAACGAGCTGAATAGTATTTAGCATCCAACTGGACAGTAAGAGAAAAAGACATGATGTTGGTTTGGTATTCATAGATTGCGAGTTCAAGTCCATAAAGGGAAGACCTGATGTCAGGTAAGAAGAACTTGGGACAGTAGGTAAAACAGTAACATCAATAAGTGAAAAATGACAGTCAATGACAAGTGTAATATTCACAGAAGTAGGGACGTCATCAGCCGGGCAGGGATGTTTTGAATCTGGTTCTAGCGTTGAGTAAGCTTTCATTCTCACGCGATGGGTTGGTGACCCAACACGGTCGGCTAGTTCTTGTCAGTCAACCACCGGGAGTAAAAGATGATGCATCCCAGTAACGTCACAAAACAAAGAAAGCGTTTGGTTTGAATTTTGCACAAACCTACACGAGGGCTATCTGCGTTAACAGTCCCTGATTTAGCAGTGGTATATATTCAGATTGCGAGTAGAGCGCCCTAACGAAAAGCTTCTAGAGACAAAAAGATATCTGATTTCTTATTTTGAGTCGCAATGAATAAATTAAGAGAAATGTGTGGGGGGGGGGAGATTGCAGTTAACTTGACTTTTACAACGATACATGCACTCCTCAAAAAACAATTAAAGGAAGCAGGTTTTATAGTTGAACTGTTTTCAGTTGAATGAATAACAGTGATAAAATTATACCTTAAGAACACCACTTATTTATTGAATATATCTAATGAATCGTTGACAATATTATCGCTGCCTACAATAAACAGGCCAAAACTGGAACCTCGTTCAATCACTATCTCTAAAACCAAATTATTACGTCCTGCAGGGCATGCGTCCAATCTGTCCGTAGATCTTACGCCATTCCTCAATTAATACACTGCCTCGTATATTGGTTTCCAAGGTGACAGGTGGAACGTAGATAAGAAATTTCCATTACCACTATGATATCTTGTTCAATGTACTCCATCACAATTCTAGCACTATGACACTGGACAATTACACCATCATGATAAAGTGGTTCAGCAGTACGCTTGAGGTCTTAAGTAAGGACGTAAAACGGGATACAATATATATATATATATAATATAATATATATATACGTACTATTAGTAGTTAACGTTACTAACGTAAACTAAT